TAACCACTGAAACTCAAAGCCAGATCCACCCACCTCTTATCACTACCTTATATCATCTAAGCCACATGGAAACCAAATGACCAACCACCTAACCAGTGGATGGTTAGGTCATCATGTTTCATTAACTGAATGAAATTCTATGCAACTTTTAAAAAGTATAAAGGCAGTTTACAAGATCACTGTGGAATCTTAACATTTCCCTTGACTGAGGGCTTTACATACATTATCTCATTTAATCTTTTCCCAGCAACCATTTGAGGTCAATATTTCTGTTATCTCTATTTCAGAGATGGAGAAGCAGGCTTGAGGGTTAATATGACACCACCTGAGAAATGGCAGAGCAGGCAGAGAAAACCAGGTCAACTTGACACCAAACCTCATTCTCAGAAATATTATCTTGTACAACACTACACAGCAGCTGCTTGAATGAGAAGAGGCCCTCCAACAATTAGAACTCCTTCCTTCTGAGCCTGCACTAAAGAAAGGAGACCACAGAAGAGCAATGAAAAGATCAAATAACTACAATTGGCACTTTTGGTCTTTGCTTTGGGGCAAGCAACATCCCATTGGATTCACAAGAGTATTTATTTAAACCAGAATAATTGCATTCATTTTTTCTGTTTACTAAAATGTTTTTTTAATTTTAATAAACTGGGTTTCATCTATGCTTTTTTTCCTACAAATGAATAGGGAATTGTGTTTCCATTGTAACTAGTAATGAAATAGTTAAATCTGGAGGGTACACCCTGGTGGTTATCTCCCTCAACCATCAAAGAGAAAAAGTCACAGTCAGTTACTCCTGTTAGATCCCAGTTCATTAGAACATCTGTAGACGCATAAGCACCCTCTTTACATCAGCTTCTGCTTACCGCAGGCATAGTAGGCAGTAGTGAATCTTCCTAATACTGCTTTAGCAACAGAGATTCAGAGAGGGGTGAGCAGCCCCTCTGGCCTTCAGGTAGGTCCAATGTTTTCATTTCTCCCCAAGCTAAAAGATGGGAACTGATATTATGGGAAGGCAGGTGCCCTACTTCAGAGTACGGTAACTACAGGTGGATGGGGTGTCTAGATGGGGAAGGAGTAAATTTGGAAAATGTGGGGCTTCCTATTCTCAGGTTGCTATGAGGATTTAACTTCTATGCCTTCAGAGCACATTATTAATCTTAGTGCACAAATGCTTTGCTGGCAGAAGTGTGGGAAGAAAGACCTAATCATGGTTTTACTGCCAGCAAAAATCAAATAATATATGCCTCAAACCTGATTAACCGTGTAAAACAGTTTTAATTTATGCACTAAATACCTGCAGTTACATGGGGTTACTTGCTTTTGGAGCAATCAGGAAACATGGGCCGTACTGAGCAATAAGATTTAATGCTTCAGAGTACACTGTCTTTCTTTGGAAAGAAAAATAAGTTAGTTCAGACACAGGAACTACAAGCCCAGACCTCACACCATTAGTCCTCTTTTGATACTCAACTATGCCCTGCCTTCAAAGTGAATAAATGAAAATCTCCCTGCTGCGGACTGTTAGCATGAGGCTGGGAAGACTGTGTGTGTATTGGCCCTATATTTCTGTCTTTTAAAAAGAATCTTTAATGTGTTGACTTTGAAATTCCCCTCAGTTGAAAAAAAGCCTCTTTTTTTTAATCTGCCTGTTTTAGTTTAGTCTATTTAAAGAGAAACCTTTCAGTAGGTTATTTTAGGTCTATTATAATCTTTTAAAAACGCTTTTTAAAAACTAAGATGTAACTAATATACTCATATTGAAACCATGGAAGAGACATAATGGTCTGCTCCACTGAAAACATAAATCAGTAAAGCAAAATCTCAAAAACTATGGCAAAAAAATGTGAAAACACTTTCAATGTTCTTGTTTATTTATTAAATATAGGAATCATCTGATTAAAATGAGTAATCTAAAAATTAAATACACAAATGACATTACAAGAGGAGATAATTCAATATAACAATAAATTTTACCACTTTTTTTAGGGCCCTGAACTAAGCTACAAAAATGGATAATATTCTTTACATCTTACCCAAGAAAATGTTTCTACCTAATCTATAATAATCATGTTTTAACTTATGACAAACCAAAATCCCTGTGAAAACCTCAAGATGAAGTCAATAGGCTACAATGAAAATATTTTTTTAAGCTTGCTGTTTAAAAACAAATGTTCTTTAGGAAATTCCTTTGGTCTGGAATTTATTACCCCTGTATGGCACCACAGATGTTTAAAACAAGCAAGTTTTGGCTTTGGGACTCCCTCCACCCAAAATGGGACAACTCTGAGAATAATAATTCATGCCATGTATAAGTACCTACAGTTTTCGTTTAATGAATTGAGGGTCAATAACATTTCTTTTAGCTTCCTTTAAGTTCCTTTAATTCCCTTAAATTTCTTAGATGCTTTCTTTCATGTATATGTGGATAAGCTATGAATAAATAAAACAGTTTCCTAGGTTATTTCATAAGCAGGGGAAGTTGCTGAATCTGCAAATCCACATGGTCCTCAGACCGCAGAGGCTTGCTTTTATAGCTTTGGAACTAATCCTTCTCAGGCCCCATTTCCAAAGTTGGTTTAATAACCCAAAATATTATTGTTAAAAGATCACACCTTAAGAGATACCCAAAATAAACTAAAACTCCTAAAGTACATGAGAATGTTCAGCAATTAATGACATCTGATCTACAGAAGTGCTTAAGGCAAAAACAAAAAATTTTGTATTAAAAACACCATCTCATTAGAGTGACCATGGATACTAGATGGCCCAAGGAACATTTACAAGGAGAATAAAAATAAAACAGTCTTTCATATGTGTATGCATGGATGTGGCACAGTGGATCCTGGCATCAGAGATATCCACAGGATATTAATTTTTTTAAAAAGTAAACTATAAATGGATTGAAGAGAGATCAGTGGAGTGGAGGGAAGAGGGGGGTGGGGGTGGGAGTGGAGAAGTGGTGGGGATTGAATTGGCACAGGTTGAGTTCCAAACCTCTGTGATAATGTCAAGGTGTTTCCTGTATACTGTATAACTAAAAAGAATAAATAAAAACTAAAATAAACTATAGTATCAATCCCCACTTTGCAAATAAAAAGAGAGACAAAAATAATTTGCCCACCATGGTTACACAGCAACTAATTGTTAGAACACCAGATTAGGACTCAGAAGATTCAATTCTAGATCCCATATATTTAATGAAGGGCTAGAGAAAAGACTGACAAGAAGAATGAAATATCAACTGCTATTTAAACTAATCCACCACCAGCATCATTATATATATTTATCCCACTCTTACTAGTTCAAAAGTTTATCTATATCCACTGACCAGATCATAAATTTCCAAAGTCTTTTAACCATCTTCAACATTACAAATATCATCTGTCATCCCTGGCAGATAATTGTGCACACACAACCTTACTTTTGATAAGTTTGATAATAATCATAATAATAACTATCATTTACTATGTGCAATGTTTTACTAAATTATTAATTATAATTGACATCAACCCATGAGATACATAAAATTATCTCATTCTACAGAAAAGGAAACTGAGGCACAGAGAAGTTAAATAACTTGCCCAAAGTCGTGTACTTGGTGACGGCTAAGATTTGAATCTAGCCAGGCAGCATTTGAAAATCCATACTGTTTTATTCTGCTTTAAGTATATTAACAACTTACTCTGAAAAGTCATTGAATCTGTGTTATTCTGTTTGCTTTAACATTTGGCGCCTAAAACTTCACTCTGCAAACAGTAAGTATATTTCACATCTCTCTAAGGTATAATAAAATAAAAATTTGTCAAGCTTACTTCATCTGGTAAACATCGCATTAATACCATAATAAAAATATAAAGTCCTGAATAACTCTTGCACCTCTTTGTTTAGTGTCTGCTTTCTACAGAATTACTAAAGAATTACCTCAAAGTTCTTGGGCTGAAAAAGAGGTCTGAAATAACAGCGATTCTATTTTTCTAGGAGTGGGTAAGGGGAGATGTGTTTAGGAACCTTCTCCTCCTCCTTAAAAGAATCCTAAAAACAGGAGTAAATTACCCAAAAAAGGGGGGTGGGGGGCACTTGTAAAGGTCTAATTACAGTATTTCCACTACTAAATGCAGGAGTGGTAAGATCATTCTCAAGCAATTTCTCGCCTGCCCTCGAGGTATTCGGAGACTCGTCTTTAGGTTCTGTAAGATAGTCAACAGCTATTGTAACCTTGGCTCCCCTTCAATCCCTTCCCCAGCAGCCCAGGATCCTCCGGGGTGCAATTCTGAGTTGGGGCGCAATTCTGAATGGAGCTTCAATGCGTCTGGACAGGAGTCCACCGTGGCGTCCCCTCAGACTGCCGTTTCCGGGCAACCACGCGCGGGCCAGAAGCAGTTGTGCATCCTACTGGGTCACCTATTTAAGAGTCCCCAGGGGAAGCTCCAGCAATTCCGGGACATCGGTTTACCCGAAACCCCTCGGTGCTGCAGCGCCCCCGTAACCCGATGTTTGGTCTGCGCCAGCCACTCTCACCTCCCAATCCCCAGTTGTCCGCCTTGTCTCCCATCTAGTCACTTCGCACTTTTGGCGTCTTTACTCAGATGGACATACTAGAAGTCTACTCTCCCGAAGAAACAAAGACAAATCATTATAGGCACACATCCCATAGAGCACAGATTCCTGGGAATTGTAGTTCTTTCGGCTAGCGTGTGATGAGTCTTTAAGAAAAAAAAGAACTACAATACCCAGAAATCAAATGGCGGAGAGTCCATCTCTAAAATATGTCCCAACTACTTGGCTTGAATTCGGTAGGAATGTTCTGTGGCTCTTTCCGTACCTAACTCCCTGAATTTTGCTAACTGGGTCCCAGGGCAAGTTTGTGAGAGGATTTTGTTTTTTAACAAGTTTTTTGCATGTGAATGAGTCTCAACAGTGACATATATGAAAAGATATTTAAGTCATTTTATCTTTTAATTCTTTCAGAGAAAAGTTCTACCCACAATCAGAAAATGTCACTGCAGATGATAACAATCAGTAATAATATAGCCTCAATTCAACCAGGCTTCTCACTGATGAATTTTGATGGACAAATTTTCTTCTTTGGCCAGAAAGGCTGGCCTAAGAGATCCTGCCCTACTGGAGTTTTCCATTTTGACATAAAGCATAACCATCTCAAACTGAAGCCTGCAATTTTCTCTAAGGATTCCTGTTACCTTCCTCCTCTTCGCTACCCAGCCATCTGCACATTCAAAGGAAGCTTGGAGTCTGAAAAGCAATATATCATTCATGGAGGGAAAACACCAAACAATGAGCTTTCAGATAAGATTTATTTCATGTCTGTTGTTTGCAAGAACAACAAAAAAGTTACTTTCCGCTGCACAGAGAAAGACTTGGTGGGAGATGTTCCTGAAGCCAGATATGGTCATTCCATTGATGTGGTATATAGTCGAGGCAAAAGCATGGGTGTTCTCTTTGGAGGACGCTCATACATGCCTTCCACCCAAAGAACCACAGAAAAATGGAATAGTGTAACTGACTGCCTGCCCCATATTTACTTGGTGGATTTTGAATTTGGATGTGCTACATCATACATTCTTCCAGAACTTCAGGATGGGCTGTCTTTTCATGTCTCTATTGCCAAAAATGATACCATTTATATTTTAGGAGGACATTCTCTTGTCAATAACATCCGCCCTGCCAACCTGTACAGAATAAAGGTTGATCTTCCCTTAGGTAGCCCAGCTGTGAATTGCACAGTCTTGCCGGGAGGAATCTCTGTCTCCAGTGCAATTCTGACTCAAATTAACAGTGATGAATTCATTATTGTTGGTGGCTATCAGTTTGACAATCAAAAGAGAATGGTCTGCAACATTATCTCTTTAGAGGATAGCAAGATAGAGATTCGTGAGATGGAGACCCCAGATTGGACCTCAGATATTAAGCACAGCAAGATATGGTTTGGAAGTAACATGGGAAACGGAACAGTTTTTCTTGGCATACCAGGAGACAATAAACAGGCTGTTTCTGATGCATTCTATTTTTATATGTTAAGATGCTCTGAAGATGATGTGAATGAAGATCAGAAAACATTCACAAACAGTCAGACATCAACAGAAGATCCAGGAGACTCCACTCCCTTTGAAGATTCAGAAGAATTTTGTTTCAGTGCAGAAGCAAATAGCTTTGATGGTGATGATGAATTTGACACCTATAATGAAGATGATGAGGAAGATGAGTCTGTGACAGGCTACTGGATAACATGCTGCCCTACGTGTGATGTGGATATCAACACGTGGGTACCATTTTATTCAACTGAGCTCAATAAACCTGCCATGATCTACTGTTCTCATGGAGATGGGCACTGGGTCCATGCCCAGTGCATGGATCTGGCAGAACGTACACTCATCCATCTGTCAAAAGGAAGCAGTAAGTACTACTGCAATGAGCATGTGGAGATTGCAAGAGCTCTACAAACTCCGAAAAGAGCCCTACCCTTACAAAAGCCTCCAATGAAATCTCTCCGCAAAAAAGGTTCTGGGAAAGTTTTGACTCCTGCCAAGAAATCTTTTCTTAGAAGGTTGTTTGATTAGTTTGGAGGGAGGGGGAGACCTTTAAGACTCAAGAACATTTGTTGCATTTATTTTAACAATGAGAAAAATATTTCAATTTTAATTGAAAATGCTTATTTTCTTTTAGATATGTGAGTTGTTAGAGGTCTAACACAATGCTAAATACTGTTCTCCCAAAGCCTAAACATTTTTAAAATATTTGACTCAAATATCTGAAATGAGAATTTTTATCTGATATTTTCATTCAAGAAATATTAAACACAAAAACGGTAGTGATAATCAAAGTATGTTTATATTCCTTGTATTATTTTGGTAACAACCTAGAGAATAGTTGAGACAACCTTAACCAATAAAGAAACTAGTAAACAAAAGATTAAATTAATTATTTTGTGCAAGGTATCAACTTGGGAATTAAAACCAAGATCAAGTATTTCCCACACTATTGCTCTTCATAAGTCTTTAAGCAGCCCCTTGGATTATGCCCATGAACAGAATGTCTTAGGTAGTCTTGTAATTTTCACTGACATGTGGGAAGAAATAATCTCAAATTTGTTATATTTCCTTGAAGCATCTGCAAGCACTTTCTTCAAAGATCTCCCTCCCTGTTATTTGATACATTGATGATGTGTCAAATACACTCATTGTACCATTGATTTGAAGGCATATTCACCAGAAAAAACAAATCCTCTATTACTAGGATCCTGGGAAAAAAGAGGAATGAGAATACATTGATAAGTGACCACCAAATACATATTATGGAGAATAATAATATTGTTTCCCAAAATAATGAAAGTTTTAAACATTTTATGAAGTTAACAGGAAGCAGATTGCAAACCGGTAAAAAGAAATCTGTGCAAGTTTGTGCCTAGTTAACTTGTGGAGTTTGCTCTCCTTGAATATTATAAAATCTGAGAACTTGGCCAAAATTCAATAAAGTTAAAAGGACTGTTAATTATGACTCTTCGAGACATCAATTGGTAATGAATTTAGAAACAAATGTTTTCCCCATAAAATATTTTTCTGGAAAAGCATTTAACCTCATCTTAAGGTCTTCAGCTTTAGTCTCTTATTCATCATTCTTCAGAATCCACAGTTCTTAAGGTAATATTTTCCAAACATGAACTATACAGGAGATGAAGTTCTGTTAATACTTGCATGTCTCAGATACTGGAATTAACTTTAATAAACCAAATCATGTTCATTTTCTTTCAGTAATGTTGCTTGATGAATATTGCCATTGAACAATTGTTTGTACCATTGATTTGATTTCTTATTTCTATCTCTATGTAAAAATAATGAAACATAGAAATTCTCTGTTTCTATTGATGTACTCAAATAATTAACAGTTATAGTTACCCAAATAAAGGCAAGATTAAAAAACTTAATCTTAAAATGTTTCAGAATCATTTTACCTTGATTTATTTTCTTTTTGTTTGTGGGAAACAGCATAAATTGAAGCTGAAATATCCTTTACAGATAGATCACCTTATCTTGATCTGTCCACAGTGACTCAACAATTAAAGAATTATTATCCCCATATTTGTTTTATAGTTGATGAGATCAAGATATGACAACCAATTCTGAATTCATTGAGTTCTATACTCAAACTCAGATCTCACCAGTAAACTGTGTGTGTGTGTGCGTGTGTGTGTGTGTGTGTGTGTGTGTGTGTGTGTAACAAGCAGTAGGGCTCTGCAAATAAAAATAGGCCTTTTTTAAGCCATCACCAATGAGCCCATCAGATGTGACCTTAAGATAATGAGGCTACTTCTTATAACCATATGCATTCAAATGAATCACTTTAGAAGTTAACACACTTATTCCAACATTGCTTTTGTCCCTTATATTTTGGGAGTTCACATTCAATCTCTTTCAGAATCTGTAGTTCACTCCATTGAAGATGTTTGATAATTGTCCCTCTGCCTCTCAGAGCTGAATTTAATTTCTGGAAACAGTCAAATGTCATTCAGAGCCTAATAGTGTGTAACTCTCAGTATTATATTGCCACTTCAAATAAAAAACAAAATGTGAATACAAGCTAACACAATGGGTTTTCAAATATGGGTCATAGATGGGTTCTAAAGTTAAGTCCAGAAATTGCACAAGAATGAAAGTGTAGTATCAAAAAAAATAAGTATATGGCTTCCTGAGGTGATTATTTTGTGGGATTATAAATATCTGCAAATACAACTGAGTGGCCAAATAAATATTGAATGAATGAATGATGAATGACTGAGGGCATATCCTTCAAATTGTAATGCTAATATCTTCATTCAACCCTGAGGCACACAATTTTGTGTCACACAATTTTGACATTGTTTTATTATTTGTCTAGCTTGTTCCTTAGTTATTTTTAAAACGCTTTTGTAAAGTATTAGCTTTGACATGGAACCTTTTATGAAAATTTATAGCTTCTTCTAGTGTAGAGAAAATATGTATGTCATGTGTAGTTTTATCTGCTAAATCATTGCCCAAACTAAGGGCTCCAGGCAATCCTGTATGTGCCCTGATATGTCCTATAAAGAATGGATCTTTTCTGTCCCAGATTGGGAAGCGGTATATATTCCCCAAAGATAAACTTAAAATAACCCTTTTTACTCTAAACTTTTTAAATTTGGATTCATCAGGACTTAGTGCTGCGGAAAGGCATATGTGTCCAAAAAATGTGCATAAGCCCAAGGTACTTTGGAAGGATATTCTAACAGGACAATGGAAAGGTCCTGACCCAGTAATTGTCTGGAGTCGGGGGTCTGTTTATGTGTTTCCACAGGGAGAACAGCAGCCGATTTGGATTCCAGAAAGATTAACTAAAGCGATTTCTACAGACCAAAAAGAGGATGATTTGGCTCAAATCCATAACAACTGATATCCAAAACTCCAGTTTGGCTATTCTTACATCTGCAACAGAACCAGGATGCTTTTTTCAATATCTATTTTATTATTGCCCTTTGCCATATCATGAAGTTCTATTTTGTTTTTTGAGCTCATACAGACCTAGGTTAATGTTTTGCTGATCAGTTCTATTTTTTGACTATAGAGTTTTTAAACATTGCAATGGAGATTTCACCTGTAAAAAGTTATAAGGCCTTTACTATAATGTTATGTGTTCTATGTATTATATTATGTGTGCACACTTGTGTTTTGTGTTATATGTTTGAATGTACGTATGTCCATACATCATATATGATGAGCGCTCATGATAAAATGGATCCAAATATTTTTTTTCACGTGATTTATATGGTTTAATTTAAATTGGGTAAACAACTGTTGAGGATTGTTTTAATATGTAAACGAAAAAGAAGGTTAACAGATCTGTTTGTTTACTTTCACCTTTCCTTTTCATTATATTTAATAATTCTCTTAAAACAATGTAAATTGTTAAGAAAATTGTTTTCTTTTAGTGCCTTCTGTAATGTTACATAATTTTTTCTTTAGCCATTATTGCCAGAATTCCTATCTTCATCCCAGTGCCAGTGAAGACAATGTAAATTGTTAAGAAAATTGTTTTCTTTTAGTGCCTTCTGGAATGTTACATAATTTTTTCTTTAGTCAGGGGCCACTGAGGAACCCATACTGGTCTTTCTGATTTCCAAGTAATTTTTATTGTCTCAGTGGCGCTTTCTGAAAATCCAACCCATGTCTTTCTGTTCCTTGATCTATTTGTATTGGTGCTGATAACGCCAAGGTCGCGGGTTCGTTCCCCGTATGGGCCACCAAATGCCGCAGTCTGGCTGGGCACAATCAGGAGCCACTTGTCAAAAGAAACTAACTTTATTTTTAGAACCACACACGCCAAACAAAACAGCCTCTCAGGAAAAACCCTCAGAGCCTCAACTGCCACCACCGGCTTTCCACAAGCCTCTCTCTCCCACACAAGCTTCTCTCCACCTCCCACAATCCTCCTGCTCTTGAGGCCGATTGGCTGGGTCACGTGGGCGGAGCCAAAAAAGTCCCCCAATGAGCAGCTCCGTGGTCTGAAAGGGCAGGGAAACAGCCCAATGAGCATCACCGCAGAGGAGCCAATCAGCTAGATGTTGCTGGGGCCGCTGTGAGCCAATCATCAGCTGGCAGCTGGAAGTTTGCTGGCAGCTGGAAGTTTACTGGGGCCCCTTCGGCTGTGGCTCTCAACACAAACTTTTGAAACACAAACCCAATATTTAAAAAAGTAGGAGGAAGACAAATCAAGTACTATCTCACAATGTTATACTACTCTGTCCACCATTCCCTCCTTGCTACTGCTACAGCACCTTGTCATGATTTCTGCTGTTACAGCTAAACCAGCAAAAGTACTTATTACTAAGTATGTAAGTGTCTGACTCTTCCAACCAACTATAAGTTCCATGAAGACTAGAACAAAATCTTTGTAATTTCTATATATGGAGTGCTTAACCTAATACCTGTCATGTTGGAGACATTCAAATTGTTCTTGAGCTGAACTGAATTAAATGTCTCAGTGAGTTCCATTTGTCTCCCATAGAAGGTAACCAAAGTGTCCTATGCTTTAGCATAAGGTACTGAATGCTTGGTTATATTTGTTATACTAATTACCTATTACTTATCTTTTCTTCCTCTAGACTCTGAACTCCATCACAGCAGAGATATTATTGGTTTATTCATTATTTAACCTCTAGTATCTAGCAAAAAAGAAAGAAAATAAATTAAAACAATTAAAGAAGCCAAGGGTATGAGCAGAAATGAAATCAACAAACCTCTCTCTAATTGACTGCATAGGGAAGAGTAGGAAATTAGTATTAATCAGGGTGATTAACACTCACTACTAGAAAAAAATCAAACTATTCCATAAGTTGTCACAGTCAAGGTTTATTTCTTGTTCATGAAAAACTTCATGCAGGAGTTTTTATCAAGCTATCTTCCTGAGCAGCTGACTCTCCTCCAAGATGCATCTCAAGGATGTAGGCTTTTTTTTTCTATTAGGTGACTCTGCTATCTTTATCTCCATCGTGTGTCCTGAAGACTTCAGATACAAAGAAAAGAAAAAGAAAACATGGAAAAGGTATAGC